TCAGAATATTCACAAGCCACTTTCCAAAATGTTAACAACATCTACACTTCCAACAGCAATGGCTAAGGGTTTCCTCCTGCCATATTCTTGCAAATTCTTCATTGTCCAAATTTGGAAATATTTCCAACTCTATTCATAAATATTTTTTATGTTTTTCAGTCATAAATTGTATTTTTTTCTGAAAACTATTAATTTAATTATTTTATCTCTAAAATATTTATCTTCATAAATGGTCTATCAGATTATTGTCCATTGTTTCTGATGTTGTGTTGATTAAATATTATGTGTATTAAGCATTTTCAGCTTCATATTTACAATTGGTTTTATTTTTATGTGCATAAATGTGTGTGTTGTAGGGAAGGAGTACCTGTGTCTGGGTTCCCTCAAAAGCCAGGAGAGGGAATCAGAGCCCACCAGAACTGGAGTTGAGCAGCTGCCTAACATTGGTGTTGGGAACCAAACTCCAGCGTTCTGCAAAAGCAGCGAACACTGGTAACTGCTAAGCCATCTTGCCAGACCTATGAGCTCATAAGTTTTCAGTGTCTTCTACACATGACAGGACTGTTCCACTCTTAAACACATTGGGCTATCTGCCCAAAACCTGCATGCAGGGGATCAAGCCAGTGGACTTTCCAAAAAAGAGAGGAAAAGGGTTCATGAGCTTCTAGTTGGGGAGCTATTGACAGTTAATGGATAAGGAGGAGGAAGAGTCCATTTTCTTTAATGATGTGAACCTCAATAAGTTCATACTTCTGTGGGTGGCCCCACACTCATGCAAACATGAGAAAAACTAATTGGACATGGGGTCAGGGGATAACAGACAGACAGAGACAGGGACAGAGAGAGAGGGGGGCAGAGGATGAAAATCGGAAAAGGGTAGAAAGGTAGATCTGGGAAGAATTAGGGGGGAGTGGTAAGCAAATACAGTCAAAAGACATCATACGCAATGAGAGATCTTGTCTCAGAGACTAAGGTGGAGAATGCTAGAGGACATTCAACTTCCCACTGTAGCCTCTGAATGCATGCACACAGACACACACGTACATGCATGTGTACCCACTGCACATACAGACTCCAAACCAGGAGGAGGGCTAGCTGGAAAGAAAGAGATCAACAAGAGAGGGAAGAATAAGAGAATGACAGTTGGAAGGATGTGTTTGTAGTGTACTGTATACAAGTAAGGAATTATCCTTAATTATTTTTAAAGAATTAGTTGTTTTATCAGTAACTGTATGACCTGAAGAAACTATATTAAAGGAGCAGGAAGGACACTTGCTTTGGGAAGATAAACGTTAAAAGACATCAAAAAAATGTTTCAAAGGTACATGGATCTAATAAATTATATCACAATTGTTTTAAAAACAAATATTTAATATCGACCACTCCTAATCACTATGTTTAATTAATACCTGTGTTCTTGGGCCATTTGCAGCAAGTTAATCAATATGTTAGAATCAGAATCTAAAAAAGGTTGTTACTACATACTCTCCCAGACTCCATGATCAGTAACATCTCAGCAGATGAAAACTGATCTCAACAGTACTGACAGAAGGAAACTGGGAAAAGCCACAAACCTGAGCTTAGAATAGCACTGGATGTTTTAACTGAAGACACTGATGGGTGGTCTGTTTAAAATGTATGTTAAACTTACTTATCTATGGTCAACATAGGCATGTCATATGATTAAAAACCTTAAGGAGATTTTTTTCTTCCAGTATTCAAAATCAATTGTTCTACTCAACGAAATAACACTAAAGCATGAGCAAAATCCTGTGTATCTTTGCTGTCCTATCCGTTAAAATAAATTTGGGTTTGGCATGGTGTCACGAGCCTTTAGTTCCAGCACTTGTGAAGCAGGGAGGCAGAGGCAGGAGGATCTCTGTGAGTTCTAGGCCAGCCCAGTCTACATAACAAGCTCCAGAATAACAGAATAGCAAGGACTACATAGAGAGACATGGTCTCAAAATTTAATAATAATAATAATAATAATAATAATAATAATAATAATAATAAATTCACTGAAAGAAAATAAAAAATACATGAACAGCCATTTTATTACAGACGTATCAGCAGCAATTAAGCACATGAAAAAAAAAAGTGTTTTATTTCAGAATACTTAAGGAAATACAATGAAATACATAGTGAAATGTCACAGTAGACTCACCAAATGGGGTAAAATCTTAAAGGACTTTCCATATGGTATACACGCCAGGATGGAGAGAAAGAGCCACTTTCACATTCTGCTGGTGGGAATGCAAGAGGGAGCAAACACATCACAGTTGGCATTTCCTAAATTGTTCTTAAAATAATCATCTATAACTCCTGTATTACAATTTGAGTTATTAACACAAGGTGCTTAAAATGCATAACTATATAAAGTCTGACATATTCACAGCAGCTTTAATTGTCATGTGGACAATCTATAAAGAAATTTTCTAAATAAATTAATGGATAAACAAGCAATAGTTGATTCATACAAAATACTATTCAGCAACAGTAACAACTTTTCATATGAGCATCACTGTTGAATCTTGAATTATACAATATACATATATATGCATACATATAAGCAAATATACATGTTTTGATGGCAATAATTTAAAACTCTAAATGATGTAAACTAATCTGTTTCTTAAGAAAAAGCAGGGTCTGAAGAGATGGCTCAGCAGTTAAGACCCCTAGATGTTCTTCCAGGAAACCTGGGTTCAGTTCCCAGTACCCACATGGTGGCCCACAACTATCTGTAACTCCAGTCCCAGGAGATCCTACTCCCTCTTCAGGCCTCCTCAGGCACTAGGCACACATTCATTCATACATGCAGATAAAACACTCATACACCTAAAAAATAAAGTTTAAATTAAAAACAGAATCACTGGTTTCCAGGAGAGGTAGGAAATGTTAATAATGGGGCATGTTGTAAATATACAGATGACAGGTAAATTCATTTTCATAACTGTAATGATTTCAAGACTTTACCAAATTGTGGTTTTGTTTTTGAGACAGAGTCATGCTATGTTGTCCCCACTGAGCCACAAACTCCTGGGCTCATGGACTCCTCATTCCTCAGCCTTTCTAGAAACTGGAACTCCAAGCATATGCTACAGTGCCATGCTATGCCCTTTAAGTATCAATCACATAGATGATACATAAATAACGCCATGAAAAGTAGCCCAAAACAGTATACCTAGATGCCCTGCTGGTCTAAAAAATTTTTCATAGGTTGATACAGATTCCATCACCTTTCTTCTCAGAATCTGAGAGTCACAGCCTTGCTCCACTGGCAGCCAATCTTGGTAAGTAAGAAAAGTTACTGCCCCTCAAATCACAAGTAAATTCAGAATTATATCTCCCCTGAAAAATCACCTTCCTCTCCTTGTTTTTCTGACTGTAAAGCTTTGGCCCCTGGCAGAGCTGGGAAAATAGAAGAATCCATAAAATCATCTTACTCTTTTCTCTGACAAAAACTCACACCCACAGAAATAACTATAAAGATCTTGAGAATTTGTCAACTCACACAAAGTCCCTGGACCATCTATAGGTGAAGTTTTCATAGAACCATGTTCCAGGGTCAGAGAGATGTCTCAGCAGGTAACAAAGTTTGCCAAAAGCCTGATGACCTGAATTCGATCTCTGGAGCCCATATGGTAGAATACAATCAACTCCAAAAGCTGCCTTCTGACCTCCACACATGTACAGCAGCCCATGTGCACCAAACCACATATATGCACAATAAAGAAATGCAGGATTATTTTCGAATCCATTAACTCAGTTCCTGTCCCAATCACTACCCTAAACACTACTTACCACACAGCAAATGGCTCCAGTGCATAGCCTGCAGAAGAGAATACCTTCAACAATGCTAGGAATTATGTGACATCCAGTGGAAAAGTAAACAGAATTGTTCAGGTGACACAGGAATACCCAGGGTTGCCATAACACTCATGATGACTTCTTACCTCCCCAAAATCATAGTACCTTCAGTAAGTCAGGAAAACAGGAGCACAAACCCAACAGTCTTTCCTGTGAGGACAGAGGCAGCCATGAAAATCAGACCAATACTCCACACAGCTGCTTCCTGCAGCTCTCCCATACCTTCTAAAATAAAAAGTAAGCATATCTATGGAATTGGTTCACCCCAATTCCACCCAGCAATTCATGCTGACATCACAGGTCAGCTGATAAATCACGACACAGAATGAACAGAACCTTCAAGATCAAAGGAGCATAAACAAACTCCCTTTTCAAAAGTTAGGTTAGAGTAATGTGCAGCAAGCATTTCACAAGTTGGTGAGTTCCAACCTGGAAATATTTATCAGGAGCACAGTGTGAGAACAAAACCTGTCCTGAACAAGGCTATCTTTCCTATCAAAGTTTAAAGCACAACTCAGACCACACTTTCTAAATAAGATTGCTGCCCTAAAAGGAAAGGAGGGGTCTCTAATAAGGCTGGAGTGGAGTAGAGAGGTCTGCATCTCTAAGCACTCAGCAGAGATAATCAGACTCATAATCTTCCAGATGGGAAGAGTCATAGGGTTTCTACCAGACACTGCGAATGACATAAATCAGGACATGGCCCTGGGCATACTAAAAACTGGAATGTGTCTCCTCAAAGTTTCCCACATATTTGAAATAAACTCCACTTCTGAAGCCCAGATGACTAATCTCTGAACTCAGAGAGGGCTGTGAGTCCCCTCCAGTGTTACTACACTTATTAAACAGCAGGGCTTTTTTTTTTTTTTGAGCAACATTTGAAAGAAGTTTTATTAAATATTGGCCAGGTTGATGGACACTGGCCAGGTCCATACCTGGGATTCCCAGAGAATGGCCACCAATTATGTTAGCTGCTTATAAAAGCAAAACCCACAAGGCTGCACACTTCCCACCTTTGTCCAATCAGGGGCAGGCATGAATCTACATGCACTTTCTGCCTATGTATTTCTCACGTAGATGTGATAAAGAACACCCTAAGCAGCACATTTCTTACATGATAAAGACTCTTCTTAGGTGTGAACTCGCTGGTGTCGGACAAGATTCGATCTACGGCTAAACGATTTCTCACAGTCATGACACTCATAAGGTCTTTCTCCAGTGTGAACCCTTTGGTGCTGAATCAGGTCAGACTTATTAGTGAAGGGCTTGCCACATTCACTACATTCATAAGGCTTTTCTCCACTGTGGCTTCTCTGGTGTTGGATCAGGCTAGCACTCTGGCTAAAGGATTTCCTGCATTCGCTACACTCATAAGGTCTTTCTCCAGTGTGCAGTCGCTGGTGTTGAATGAGGCTAGCACTCTGACTAAAGGCTTTCCCACATTCAACACACTCATAAGGCTTCTCTCCGGTATGAACTCTCCGGTGCTGGATGAGGCTAGAACATTGTCTGAATGACTTGCCACATTCTTCACACTCATAAGGTCTTGTGCCGGTGTGAATTCTTTGGTGCTGGATGAGGTCATATTTCCGGGTGAAGGATGTGCCACACTCCCCACATTTGTAAGGCCTTTCTCCAGTGTGAACTCTTTGGTGCTGGATAAGGATGAACTTGCGACTGAAGGATTTCTCACACTCACTGCACTTATAAGGCCTGTCACCAGTGTGCACTCTCCGGTGTCGAATGAGGTTGGAGAACTGCCTGAAGTACTTTCCACACTCGCTACACTCATAAGGCTTTTCCCCACTGTGAATTCGCTCGTGTTGAGTGAGCTCAGCTTTGCAGCTAAAGGCTTTCCCACAGTCAGCACACTGGTGAGGCATTTCTCCAGTGTGGACTCGCCTGTGTCTGATGAGATTAAAGATCTGTCTAAAGGATTTCCCACATACGTAGCACTCGTATGGCCTTTCTCCAGTATGAATTCTGTGGTGTCTAAAGAGGCTAGAGTTTTGTCTGAAGGATTTTCCACACTGTTCACACTGATAAGGCCTTTCTCCTGTGTGGATTCTCTGGTGTTCAGTGAGGTTGGATTTGTAGGTGAAAGATTTTCTACATTCCACACACTCATAATGTACTCTAGCCCTGTGGTGTCTCTGATGGTAAATGAGTTGAGATTTATAGATAAAGGCTTTTCCACATTCAGTGCATTTATAGGGCCTTTCTTGAGGACGAATTCTGTCTTGTGCATTGCGGCGGCACGTTTTGCTGAAGGACTTCTCATGCTGACTATGCTCATGTGTCCTTTGCCCCCGGTGACTGTCCTGGTGCTGAGCATGTTTGTAATTGCAGAAGGCTTTCTCGTACTTGCTACACTCAGATGGCCTTTTCTCAGGGCAGGCACTTGGACACTGAACAAGTGCATGTTTGCAGCTTGAACCTTTTTGGCATTCACCGTCCTTACAATGTTTCTCTCCATTCAAAAGTGCTTCCCCACACTTGACGCCACTGTGAGGCTGTTCACTACTACAAGTGGCCTGCTGCTGAAGACAGCCTGTGGCAGAGAGGGCCTCCTCCCCATCCTTCCCACAGATGAGTGGCTTGGTCAACACATGGGATCTGCAGCGTGACATAGCTGAATCCCTGTGAGGATCTCCTTCGCAGGACTTTTCTCCACTGTAACTCTTCTGATGCTGGTTACTGTCTTTATTCAAACTGGAACCTGTTCTGCCCGAGCACAACATCTGCACAGGGTGTGTGCTCAGGAACTCAGTCTCGTGCAAAATGTCTTCCAAAGCTGGGACAGGTATCCCAAGATGAGACTCCTGAGGAGATGGACTTCTGTTACACACCACCCCATCTGCAGGCACAGTACGCTCACAAGTTCCATCTTCACCCCCTATTCCAGTACAGGAACCTGAAATCAGAAAAATACATGTTGAAATGCTAATGAAATGATGCTGGAAAGGGAAATGCCCATTACAAAGGTAAGGTAGACACAAAAAGCAACAACACAGCTGGACTTAGATTACACCTTACTCTAAACACTTGGGAATCTAAAGCAAAAGGGCTTATAAGTCTGAGGTTAGCCTGTGATACATAGAAAAGAGATTATCACAGAAAAAAAAATAATGGAGAAGAGGCAGTGAAAGCACTGGAATGTTCTAAGAACAAAAGAGCTGCAGACATACTGAGGAGGCTGCTTTCAAATGCAGAATGGGGGATAACACACCAAATAAAACACAGGAATAAAGTGCAGGAACAGACAAGCAGGGTCTCCAAGCAATTCCTCAGCAAACAGCCTTCACCAGGATGTGTCTATTGGGGATGTGTCTACACTGAACTAAAGACCCCAAATGAAGCTAGCGATCAGGGACTAATTAAAGCTATGTAAGTGCCTCACAACACCTTGTGTCAAAACTAAGAATGTAACACAGTATCAAGGTAGCCAAGAGCCAAAAGCTGGGGTTCAATCACAAGATGCTAAAGTATTAAGCATGGAGTAAAGGTAGCAATGAGGTATGGGTGACTCCTTTACTAAAACACTGCAGGCACTCTGCTGCTTCCTGATACAATGCAAACATGCCCTTCCCTGGGTGCCTACCACTAGGTCTGGTCTCCTTTAAGACAATCTTGACTTATCAACTCTATGAGGCAATCAAGACCTTTCCTGCATCCCCAAACATACGGGACATGAGAAATGCAAATATTGTGTGTGTGTGTGTGTGTGTGTGCGCGCGCGCGCATGCGCGCGCGCGCGAGAGAGAAAGAGAGAGAGAGAGAGAGAGCAAGAGAGAGAAAAAACATGTGAGTGACCCACACTAACTCATAGCAACTTGATATAAAATAGTATATAGGAAAGAAACATAACAAAACACTTACGAGTCCTTCAAGAATAGCTCATGATTCATTTTAAAATAAACATGACAACACTGGCAATTCCTCACAAAGGTAGCCATAAAGAAATGACAACTAAGCCTGGTGCATGCCTTTAATTCTAGCATTCGGGAGGCAGAGGAAGACGAATCTCTGTGAGTTCAAGGCCAGCCTGATCTACATAGTGAGTTCCAATACATCTGGGGCTATGTAGAGAGACACTTTCTCCCAAAAGAAAAGAAAAGAGAGAGAGAGAGAAAAAAAAAGAAACAATAAGAAAAGAAAGAAATGACAACTACAGGAACTAGGTGGAAACCAAGGCATAGGTCACTGTAGAGAAAGTTTGAGACTTGTTATGACTCCTAAGATAGCAATCACTCTCAGGTAAAAATAAAGGTGGACGCCACTCTGGACACTGGGAACCATGCAAGGACCTTACCCAGAGATGCCACAAGTGCCAAGTTTTCCAGCATCACACTGCAGTACAGGAGCCTCTGGGCCTTATCAAGGAGCACCCACTCTTCCTGAGAGAAGTGAATGGCCACATCCTCAAAGGACACATCCTATCACAATGGAAACAATTAAGCTTATAATCAGCTTCTCTTTCAGAATTCCAAGCACTCCAATCCTGGTGCCCCAATATACATCCCTTGCTTTCTATATTTTCCATCTCATATCAGAGGAGACACTGGGCCATTGATGCCCACTCTCTGCCCACTGATATTGCACCCTTCCATGGAAACACAGGGAGGTAAACAAAAAGATGAAATCTAACCTCAAGGCCTAGGATGAAGGCTACTACCCCCTCTTATCAAAGCTGTGGCTGTCACAGATACTAGCTAGGGAGAAAAATGGTCAGAGAGAAGATAGGCTAACTTGAATTTAGTCTTGTCAGACAATAGCGCTGAAGACCCTAAAAATATTCCAGACCCAAGGAACATAGGCTCACCTCTTTATCCTATGACTGCTGACTGCTCCTGGGGCAATTAGTTCACCCTCTGAATTACCTCTGCACATTTGTGCATGCAAGAGGCCAATGTTGGTGTCATGTTCAATTGTTTACTACCTTATTTGCTGTCATAAGGCTTCTCAATAAAACTAGAACTCACCAGTTTAACCAGACTGGCTAGCCGGTGAGCTCCAGGGGTCTGCCTGTCTCTGCTCCCTACCCTCAATCCCAGTGATGAGGTTATACACATGGTCCACGGGGCCCATGCTTTATATGGGTACTGGAATTCTGAACTCAGGTCCTCATCCATGAAAAGCAAGCACTTTGCCCACTGAGCCGTCTCCCTAGTCCCACACTCTGAATCGTACTTGTCTTGAATGACTACATTCCCACAGCCACACCCTCAAGATTACGAAGCCCTGAATAGTAGGGAAAAAAAGTTTACGATTCACTTCTTTCTGAAGGCTCCATAGTAATGAACAACTCCCATCTGATCCTATCAGCCCATGAGGAGATAGCAGGCTTGAATACCACTTACTCCAGGCTCCTCACTCTCACTGACTACTCATTTACAGCACCAGTATGTAGAAGGATGATAGGCAACATCTAACCCTGGCCCTGACACCTAGAGCTGCACGCTTTACTACCACAGACCTGCCCAGGAGTCCCACACATCCTTCATCCCATACACCACCAAGGATTTGCAAGTTTCATTACTATATCAAGACCTTGAGATCATCCGTCTGTACTTCTGTTGAAGTAAATATTTAAAATCGGCCACTAGTCATGGCAACTCTCTAAGCTGCAGCGGCTCAGCTGGAGGCCACATGCACATCGCACACAGCTAGAAATGGCCATCCAGAAACACCAGCCCTGCCACTCACGAGACGTCAGCGTGGAAGATGGCTCTGCCAATCTTCCATGCTGTCTCCACAAGGCTGGGCATTGCCCAGACCATCCCGACATCCACTCAGGCCGAGATTCTAATGCTTAAATTATCCAAAAGCTTATATATTTGGTAATGATCAGTAACAAGATGCCCATACAATCTGAAGTGTAACCCAATACCCAACCTAGATATACCAACTACCTTTGACTGCTGGAGACACGTGAACATCCGCCTCCATGTTTCTCTCTCTCTCTCTCTCTCTCTCTCTCTCTCTCTCTCTCTCTCTCTCTCTTTCTCTCTCTCTCTCTCCCCTAACTCCTCCTCTTCCTCTCCTTACTCCTCCCACCTTAGCTCCTCCTATACGCTTCCACCTCAAAAACATAGACCTCTTTGTTCCACACACCTCTCTATCCCTGCTCACATACAACCATAGCTATGCACTGAAAACAGCCCTTTGGCCTACCCATTGGTTACTCAACACATGGGATCCAGAGAGTCCTTGGGGAATTCAATCAGGATCCAACACCAAACCTACACCCCAACCTCTCACAGACCCCACTACAAAGCAGCCCCAACCCTGTTATGATGGTATCCTACCTGATGCTATTCTTTGGTTCAATCTCACCCACTGTGGTAGTTTGAATAGGTTTGGTGCCCACAGACTCATATGTTTGAATACTTGGCCCATAGGGAGTGACACTATTAGGAGATGTGTGGCCTTGCTGGAATAGGTGTAACCTTGTTGAAGGAAGTATACCACCATGGGGGTGAGCTTTGAGGTCTCCATTGCTCAAGCTATGTACAGTGACACAGTGTCCTTCTGCTGCCTGCAGATGAAGATGTAGAACTCTCAGCTCCTCCAGTGCCATGTCTGCATGCATGCTGCCATGCTTCCCACCAGGACAATAATGAACTAATGTGGAGGTTTGGTCTTTTACTATGTATTGTAATGTTAAATACTGAACCTCAAGGCCTGTTTGCCCACAGAGAATCCACACACACAAATATAACATGACCTGGCTCCTTAATTTAAAACTATTGATTAAATACAAATTCTGACAGCCAATAGCTGGGCAGAAAAAACATAGGCCAGGTTTAGGGTTCTCAGGCTTAAGGTCTGAGCAAGAGCAAAAGGAGAGAACAGAAGGTAGAGAGAAGAGGAAGCCACCATGGGGTAGGTGAATCATGAAAACATAGCCATGAGGGCTAGCCAATTGGAGTTGAGAGCTGCCCAGATAGAACATGGCAAATTATACCTTGGGGTTATTGATGGAGAAGTAGATTCTAGTAGCACGGAGAGAAGATATCTGCCCAGCTCTAGTGCTGATTAAGGTTTATTATAATAATAAAAGTTGTGTGTCTTTTATCCAGGAACTGAATGATCAAAGGCAGGGCAAAGCCCTGATTAAGATTATATATTTCTACAACAGATTAAACCTCTGAAACCGTTAAGCCAGCCCCAGTAAAATGTTTCCTTTCTAAGAGTTGCCAGGGTCATGGTGTCTCTTCACAGTGATAAAACTCTAACTAAGACACCCACCAACAATCACCAGTGGAAGCCAGGTATTTTGACTCATGCCTATAATTCCAGTACTTGGGAGACTGTTACAAGTTCAAAGCTAGCTTGGGCTACACAGTGATGCAGTAGGCCCCTTCCAGCCCAATAGAAACAGCAGAGACAGCTGAAGAGTTCAAACCAAATGTGATGCCTAGAAATGACACTAAAACCTGTCACACTACCTGCAAGTTGTACTGTGTGCTCCAGGGTTCCAGTTTCCCAGAGTCATCAATCCATGCTGGGGTGGGCTTTTGTTGACATGGCTATCTAGTGACCCCTCACCCATATTCCTGTAAGCAACCCCAATAAAACTCACTGGCTCACCAAATTGTACTTTGGTCTGTCCTCAGTTCTCTATCTGGGACTCCTAGACATTTGTTCATGTTTCCACAGGATTAGTGTCATCACAACACCATTTCCCTTATTACACAGTCGGTTTCCCATGCAGCAGCCAACAACAAGGAGCCTGAGGAGAGTAGATTGGCTTGCCAGCCTTCTCCACACCCAAATTTCCCATTGCCATTTCCACATATAAAGTACACATTCTGCTTTTCAGAGAAATAGTCTGGGTGTGAGTCCTGCACCTCACTGATCCTTATTCCAAGGAGAAAGGAGATCTTTCTGCACATGCCTTAGTAATTCAGTCTCCTCTTCAGACATAGGCACATACTGGCACACACTGCAGGAGAAGCAACCCTTTACACTTCTGTTCACGATTGCCAACAATTTCATACATCCCACAGCCTACACATCTCTGGGTTATGTGCCTAACCTGTTCAAGACTGCAAGGCCGAGGGCTACTAGGACGCACTGAGGTAATAGACCAAGAACACCACTAACCTAAAAACTGTATGGGTAGCATGAGAGTAATGGTATGATTCACTTACCATGCCAAGCTCCAGATCTGGTTCTGAAGTCAGGGGAACCTGAAAAAAGGAGGAGGCTGTGAGAATCTAGCAGCCATTGGCAGTCTTCACAGGCTTCAGTCACTCAGTGACCCTGTTCACCGTGGGGTTAGAAGGCCTGGGATGACTACAAATCTG